GTTACTTAGTGGAAGTTTTTCATTCTTTTAACTGTTAATTCTAAACTGCCTAATTTAAGTAGAGCTGAGGGAGAATAAATAATAAGTTATTTGAAGATAAGGGCTTAAATCCCCCTATAGAGTACAGAAAGTTGTTAGGTGGTATTGAATGAATACATGTATGGATGGATCATCTAGAAACATAATTATTAATTTCATTGCATATAATATTTTAGAGGTATAGTCACTTACTTTCCTGATTTGTGTGAATATAATAATGATAGAAGATAGCAATCATAGTTAAAACACTGGCCTTGGACTGTAGAACTAGTGTCTTCTTCTGGCTCTATTAACTAAATGGTTGGTGATGTTTGGCACATCAGAAAAGTGGCTTTTGTTTTTGATATTACCTGGTCATATGGTAAGTTTTAATATTTTAAAAATATGTCATTATTATTTTTATAGTAATCTTTATTTGTTTATGAATCACTGAATGTGTATCACAATGTGCAGAGGATCTTTGAGGTAGAAAGGTGGAGAAAGCATCTCATGTTTGAGAAAGTAAAGTAGTGTTCTGTGACTAGAGTGCTAGGTGCAGTTATATGTGCCATAGGAGGTAAAGGTGAAGGTTACATCCAGTGAGTTGTTTGGTGCTGATCTTATGAGTGATAGTAGGGAGAGAGTAGGGAGCTCTTAAAATATTGTTGCAATAATCTACACAATAGGTGACTACATCTTGAATTAAGGTAATGACATTGCACTTGATAAACAGGATACACCTACAAAGAATATATTGAGAAGTTAGAATAACCAAGACTTTTGGCAGAAGAGAGGAGTCCAGGATGACTCCTGAGCTGGGCCTTAAGCACCTAGAGTGAAAGTGATGGTTTATTCCTGGACTTTAAATGGTATGGATTTTATAGTAAGTAGAGATGACAGAAGAGTGTAATGTGAAGCTTTTCCAATTTTGTCATAACAATATTTAATTGCATTGCTTACAAAAAAGAATATATTCTCTCAGTTTGTAGTAATTAGCAAATGCTGCAACAGATAAATCAACATCTGCGAATATCTATAAATTGTAAAAAGTATGAAAACTGCTACCTCTAATTCCACATCATCATTAAAACCTTTGAATTGTGTGATTTATTCTTTAAAAAATTAATTAAAACAGAGAACAGCTTCCCCTAAAAAATAAGTTTATGAAACTGAAGGAATGGACTCTGTATTAATATTTCCGAAGAGTTCCTGAGACCAAAAATGGTGGCCCTTCTTTTCCAGCAGCTGGAATCCAAAAGATCTTGAAACCAATGCTGAAAGGCTTGCTCCTATGCAAGAAATCCTGGTGGCTTTTGAGAGGAAGATAGAGAACTATTCTGGAAAATTTCAAGTGGTAGTAGAGGTGAGTTACTGACATGAAGAATTTATCCAGGGACTAAAAATATTCATTTATCTTTATAAAAGCTTTTTAAAACATATACATTCAGCTGAAAATAAAATTTTTAGTTGAACATCTTAGTCTTTGTTTTTAAAGTTTTTAATGAATAGAAAATAGTAGAACAAGCAGTCCCCCCCGACAAATACATTAAAAATATAAGAAAGCTTCTATAATATGATGATGATACTGGAAATATGCATGGCAAATAAATGCCATATTTATGCCTTGAATGTATTTTGAGTGTCAGATCTGCTTGGCTGAGATTTTTAAAAATGTGTTTTAATAATCTTTTTGATTTATGAGAAAACTTTGTTCTCCTTAGTAAAGGAGGAAGTCTCTTTTTTCTGATTTGATTCAGGTGCTGCTTGGATACCCTACTTAGTCTACTCTAGATAGTATTTTATTTAGGAGCAGTGCAGCATTACTGTAGCTCCCTCTAGTTGTTTTATTCAGTTCTTGGGGATGGAAAATTTATAGACATGGTACAAACTTTAAGGCTTATAGAAGTGCAGTGAATATTCTCCCTCCCACTTCTGTCTCTGTCATCCAGTTGCCTTCCATAGAAGTAACCATGTTTATCAGTTTCTTATCTATTTTTCCTGAAAAAAAATTTTTTTTTGAGATGGAGTCTCACTCTATCACCCAGGCTGGAGTGCAGTGGTGCAGTCTCGGCCCATTGCAACCTCCAACTCCTGGGTTCAAGTGATTCTCCTGCCTCAGCCTCCCAAGTAACTGGGACTACAGGTGTGTGCCACCATGACTGGCTAATTTTTAAAATATTTTTAATAGAGATGGTGTTTCACCATGTTAGCCAGGATAGTCTCGATTTCCTAACCTTGTGATCTACTTGCCCCAGCCTCCCAAAGTGCTGCGATTATAGGTGTGAGCCACTGCGCCTGGCTGGAATATTTTATGCATATATATATATATATATACACACACACAGGTGTATAGTTGGCATACATTTTTATATCCTTACATACATCTTTTGACTTGTAGGTAAGACTCTTCGTTTCTCTCAATAAGTTCCTCAGAAAATGGAGTCAAATAAAATTGTTGTATTAGTGTGTTCTTATATTGCTATAAAAATACCACCTGCGACTGGGTAATTTATAAGAAAAAGAGGTTTAATTGACTCAGTTCCACATGGCTGGGAGGCCCCAGGAAACTTAAAATTATGGCAGAAGGCAAGGGGAAAGCAAAGCACATCTCTTATGGTGTTGAGAGAGAGAGCGCACGAAAGGGAAACTGCCATTTTTAAAACCATCAGATCTCATGAGAACTCCCCACTATCATGAGAACAACATGGGGGAACAGATCCCCGTGATCTAATCACCTCCACAAAGTCCCTCCCCAACACGTGACATGTGGGTGTTAACGAGATAAGCTTTGGGTAGGGACACAAAGCCTAACCGTATCAATTGGGTAGAAAACTATTTTAAATTATCATATTAATTTTCTTCCTCTAGATTAAACATAGGCATGTAGCATCCTTCTGTTAAACACTGATTTTCTTTTTTTTTTTTTTTTAAGATTCAGCTGATTATTTTAACATTTTGCAGTTTGGCCATTGGGAATTGAAGATCTGATTGCAACTTAATTGTAACCTAATCATTTGTAATATCTGCTTCTCTATTAATTTTTCCCCCCACTTACCTCATTTTTTAAAAACAACCAGTAAACCTCAAAGGGCAAGTCAGTACACACATACAAATTTGTGAAAACTATGTAGATAGCTTCCTGAAACAATACATTAGAATGAATTCTAGTTTTACTATTAATGGCTGTTGCTCAGGTACTTCTTAGCATCTGAGGGACAAAGTGAAGATACTAGGAAAAAGGGAAAAGTACAAAGAAGCAAAGCCCAAGAAGCCATGTTTATTAGGCTTAGTTGCTGAGCCTGGAATAGGCTGTATTTGGCTTTAGTTGACCCAGGACAAATAGAAGCCATACCTTGAAGTAGATTCTTCACTTATAGAGACCTCTGATTTCCATGATTTTGGAAGATTAAAACAAAGAAAATATTTGATAAGTCTTCCTTTCAGGGGAATGAATTATTAATTTGGAATTTCAGGTGGTGTGTCATTTATTTTGCCGTTTATTATATTTAATTATGGTTTCCTGATTCTGACAGTGACTTAAACTTGGGCCCATTTTATTTTATCTGTTCCTACTCTTTTGTCTTCACACATTTGTTTCAAGGTTCTGTTTTTGTAAAACTGTTGTGTGCTGCTTAATTGCCATTTGTCACTGGAGATGCCCTGTTGACATAGAAGTAATTTTTTTTTAAACATTTACAGTATTGTAAAAATGAACAAAATCTCCTATTACATTTGCTTGCCTACTCATTGATTCTGCCTACTTTCTTTTTATCTGTTTGTACGTTTTGTTACATGTTATTTTTTGTATATTTTAGTTTATTAAATTAGACAAATGTGATAAGCAAATGCCAATTAAAATTTTAAATTGACAGCCCCAATTCTCTTTGGTCTCCGTAAAACATAAACAACTTAAAATTGTTTTAGAATAGAGGTTTTGCTCTTTTAATGCTAAAACTGGGATTGGGTAAAATATTTTGTACTTAGGAAGTTTCACAAATAGAACTGTTTCATATACATTAGATTGTGACGATAATACGTTAGGCAGTAGACGAATTTCAGCAATTCAAAGTCTTTTAAAATATTAACTTTGAAGTGATGTGTGTGATGCTTTGGGCTGGTGATGTTGTATGTACTAGGCTATGTGGGGAAACTAAAAACACATTGATTATGGATTGATGAAGGCAAAATACTTTTAATAGTAGGGTTTAGGATTCTTAAGTGGTTTATTACATGATTTCCAGGTGAAGCCTTCCTTTGTAATTATAAGGGTGGTAAGTTTGGATCAAGATGATTCAATTAAAAAAGAACAGTACAAACTTCATGTTTCTGGGAACATACGTTAAATGAGAACAGATTGAATTCAATGGGAAAAGTAACAGTAGTTTAAAAATATGTTCAGTTGGCTGGGGGCAGTGGTTTATGCCTGTAATCCCAGTACTTTGGGAGGCTGAGGCAGGCAGGTCATTTGAGGTCAGGAGTTCAAGACCAGCTTGGCCAACAAGGTGAAACCCTATTTCTACCAAAAATACAAATATTAACTGGGAATGGTGGCACATGCCTGTAATCTCAGCTACTCGGGAGGCTGAGGCAGGAGAATTGCTTGAACTCGGGAGATAGAGGTTGCAAGTGAGCCAAGATTGTACCACTGCACTCAAGCCTGGGTGACAGAGCAAGACTCTATCCTAGAAAAAATAAATAAATAAAAATAAAAATATGTTCAGACTACTGGCATTTATCTTAACTATGAAGTACATATTCCTCAACGTCTTAATATATTTTTCTTAAACATGAATGTCGAGTGTATATTTAATATATTCTTACATCATTTTTTGCTTTCTCAAGAATATCAGTACATTTTATCCTCACTAGATGCTTGACTTGTTTTTTTAAATACTCATTTTGAGGTGAACTATAGTTTAACAAGTAAATATATGTCTACTTAAAATATTTTAAGAATAAATTTAATAGAAACTTTAACTTAAGTAATTCAGAGTCTTCTCCTTTCTTTTTCCATTCTTGAAGTGTGAGATAAAGAGAAAAAAAATACTGACAGGGATGACGTGACTTCTCTAAAGCTGAGGAATTTTCAACATTACTAAGATGTTTGAATTTTTAGTGGTTTATTTGATAGCCTCACAGTATCCCTCCTATTGGAGAAGTGAAAGCAAGTTTAGAAAATTTAAGCATTTCAGAATGATGCTAAGTAAGTATTAAAATAGTACTTAGGGTCTGGCTTGATTCATAGGAACTAAATGGTAGAGATTCAGGTCGCTAGTTATTACCCATAATTTAAAATGATTTAAAAAATAGAGCTTAGTTTTTCTTTTAGACAAAGTATATGCCATTTATCCCTTCCACACCCTTCTTTTTTTGAAACCAGTGTGCTTGACTTAGCTTTGGAAAACTGAATAATTAATTGCCAAAGAATAAGCAGAAGCATTTTTGGTGAGAGAACCTGAAAGAAAAGGAGTAATATTTTAATAACAGGAATGATGTTTTAATAATAGAGGTAACACTTATAGCATCTTCTGTCTTGTGGTGAAATTTCCTAGATGCTTATTTTGACTAGCTGCAGCATGGTGGTATGGATTGGGAGTGAAGGAACTGGATCTTAGTCTCAGCTGTGTCACTGATGCATTGTATTTCCCAGTAGAAAAATCATACAACCTCTTTGTGCTTCAGTTTCCTTATCTGTAAAATGAAAACCAGGACTCTAAAACAGAGCCTGCTGTCAGCAAGCCCTGCAGGATGTATTCGCAGTTCCATTGGATGAAGCTTTAAATATCTAAATTATTGATGGGTGATGTTGGTTTTATCAGGAGCTGAATTATGGAGACTTAGGCCTGTTACTTAACATCTTTATAGATTCAGGGTTTTTTCCCCTATAAATTAGGATAATAATGCCTATCTCAGGGTTTTGAAATTTAAAATCACAAATGTAGGTAAAGTATTGAGTCTAATGCTTGTCACTGTAGCTGTTACACTGTTTTTTTTTTTTTTTTTTCTGCTAGTTACTGGACAGTTTACTCTTCATGGCCTTGAGTCCTTGAGAACAGCTAGTTTGCACCATATTCTTCATCACCTGCTAAAAGCATCAGCTTCTGTTGTTTTTCTCCCCTGCCCTAACTCTCATTTCCAAATTGCTCAATTTTTCATTTCCACTGGCTCTTCCATTGCTCCCCTACATTCCACTCTTTTCTTTTTTTTTTTTTTCCTATTTGCCATTTTTTTATAATTGTACTTTAAGCTCTGGGGTACATGTGTGCATCCTGCAGGATTGTTGTATAGGAACACACACGCCATGGTGATTTGCTGTCTCCATCCCCCCCACCCTCATCGCCTAACATCAGGCATTTCTCCCAGTGTTAGCGCTCCCCAACCTCCCTGCCCCCACTCTGTCCCTCCCTTCCCCTGGCCCCCACCTCCCTTCGCCTACCCCCTTATGTGATGTTCCCCTCCCTGTGCCCATGTATTCTCATTGTTCATCACCTGCCTGTGGGTGAAACCATGCAGTGTTTGGTTTTCTGTTCTTGTGTCAGTTTGCTGAGAATGATGGTTTCCAGATTCATCCATGTCCCTACAAAGGATGTAAACTCATCCTTTTTTATGGCTGCATAATATTCTATGGCATATATATGCCACATTTTCTTTGTCCATTCTGTTATTGATGGGCATTTGGGTTGGTTCCAAGTCTTTGCTATTGTAAACAATGCCACATTGAACATATGTGTGCATGTGTCTTTATAATATAATGATTTATAATCCTTTGGGTATATACCCAGTAATGGGATTGCTGGGTCAAATGATATTTCTATTTCCAGATCCTTGAGGAATCACCAAATTATCTCTATTTGCAGATGACATGATTGCATATTTAGAAGACCCCATTGTCTCAGCCCCAAATCTCCTTAAGCTGATAAGCAACTTCAGCAAAGTCTCAGGATACAAAATCAGTGTGCAGAAATCACAAGCATTCTTATACACCAATAAAAGACAGAGAGCCAGATCATGAACAAACTCCCATTCACAATAGCAACAAAGAGAATAAAATACCTAGAAATACAACTAACAAAGGATATGAAGGACCTCTTCAAGGAGAATTCTAAACCACTGCTCAAGGAAATAAGAGAGGACACAACCATATGGAAAAACATCCCATGCTTATGGTTAGGAAGAATCAATATTGTGAAAATGACCATACTGCCCAAAGTAATTTATAGATTCAATGCCATCTCCATTAAGCTACGATTTACCTTCTTCACAGAACTGGAATAAACCACCTTAAACTTTATATGGAACCAAAAAGCCCACATAGCCAAGACAATCCTAAGCCGAAAGAACAAAGCTGGAGGCATCACACTACCTGACTTCAAACTATATTACAAGGCTACAGTAAGCAAAACGGCATGGTACTGGTACCAAAACAGAGATATAGACCAACTGAGCAGAACAGAGATCTTGGAAGTAACGCCACACGTCTACAACCATCTGATCTTTGACAAACATGACAAAAAAAGCAATGGGGAAAGGACTTCCTGTTTAATAAATGGTACTGGGAAAGCTGGCTAGCCATGAGCAGAAAGCTGAAACTGGACCCCTTCCTTACAACTTACACTAAAATTAACTCCAGATGGATTAAAGATTTAAACATAAGACCTAACATCATAAAAACCCTAGAAGAAAACCTAGGCTGTAGCATTCAGGACATAGGCATAGGCAGGAACTTCATGACTAAAACACCAAAAGCATTGGCAACAAAGCCAAAACAGACAACTGGGACCTAATTAAACTCAAGAGTTTCTGCACAGCAAAATAAACAATCACTAGAGTGAACCGGCAACCAACAGAGTGGGAAAAAATTTTTGCAAGCTACCCATCTGGCTAAGGGCTAATATTCAGAATCTACAAAGAACTAAACCAGATTTACAAAGAAAAAACCCATCCAAAAGTGGGCACAGGATATGAACAGACACTTTTCAAAAGAAGACATTTATGAGGCCAAAAAACACATGAAAAATGCTCATCATCACTAGTCATTACAGAAATACAAATCAAAACCACATTGAGATACCATCTCACACCAGTTAGAATGGCAGTCCTTAAAAAATCAGGAGACAGCAGATGCTGGAGAGGATGTGGCGGAATAGGAATACTTTTACACTGTTGGTGGCAGTGTCAATTAACTCAGCCATTGTGGAAGACAGTGTGGCGATTCCTCTAGTCTACTTTTTAGAAACCTAGAAACTAAGCTTACCAACATATTTTTTATCATAACAAAATGATCTCTCTACATCTGTGATGTCATTGAATTCTTGTTTATTCCGATTCCAACCAACAAACACATACATGTACCTATACCCAGCCACTTTTTGGCAGTGGTGTCCTATAGAAATGGCTTTATTTCACATCACTTCTGCCTTTCAGATTTTAATGTTACTATCAATTTGTGATGGATTACATCACTAGAACAATGTTTAATAATTTGGTGTACATATCTGCCTTGTTCCTCATTTTTTATTTTCCCTGCAAGATATTAATGACCTACATTAAATGTGTACAGTCATATTCATTGAATATAAGATAGTCCTGATTGTAAGAAACAGATCCACTTTGTGGACTAATAAGAAAAAAGTTACCACTTATTAGACACCATCAATTATAAGATGAATTCCTTTTCCAAAGATGTTAAAATATGAACAACTGTAAATGAGGATTGATGAGATATAATAGCCTTTTTAGTCTTATTAACTTTTCCTTTAAAATTTCTATGTGCTCTTGCTTGCTCGATAGAAACTTCAAATTTTCTTTCTTTTGCAGTTTCGGTGAACTGTATCTGAATTACTTTTTGCTTCATTGCAGACTAAGAAGCATTTTTACTTGGTCTGGTTATTTCCAAATATTTAATGTCTTTATGATTACATAACTTGATCATCTTCTGTTTACAAATTCCCATCACAACACAAAGATGCAGCATCATTTGAATGTTTGAGATGGAAAACATTTTTTCAATTTTCAGAAAGGGTGAGCTTTACTGACATTTTTCTCAGCTCTTCTCCCCACACACAGAATTACATATTAACTCTACCACTGTGATGTCATAGAGCCCTCTGACTTTATACTGTTTACCTTTTATATATTTTTTTATGTTACACAATTTTGAAGCTCAGATTTATTTTGCCTTCTATGTCATCTTAGAGCTTAATGATAAAAGCCCTCCCTCCTTTTTTTATCCATGTTTCTTCCCACCCATCTCTAACTTCACTTTCTAATTGTCTCTAGAGGAAAGACTTAGACATGTAGTTTACTCTGAGAGAGCACTTACATTGAGGTGAGGAGGAATAGATACCTAGAGGTGATTGTGTATTGGAATTTTGTTCACTTTAAAACTCTGAGTTGGGAGAAGAGTCACTATATTTTTTGCTTGAAGAAAGCTAGTTCTGTGTACACGTGAGGGCAACAACTCAAGGCAGATGTCAGGTAACCTGTTAAACCTGGATTGTCATCTTGGACATATGGGGGTGTGTTTGGGAAATCAGGAAGAAAAATTACGAAAACTGACCTCTGTACCAGTTAAACCATTTTAAGGAACTCAAGTTGTATGTAAGTGATGTAATATAATATTCTAATGTTCATAAATCTTTTATTTAGTTTCTAATATGATAGAATATCAAAGAAGTACTGTTTGGATAGTCATTCCTTGTAGATGACACTGAAACTGGTTGAAATGGTTGTCTAATTGTTTTATGCTTACCAAGCAATGGTTCTTACCATTGGAATTCACAGATTTTTAGAGAGGTGCTTCTATGAACTGAACTTACATGTAAAGTTTGGGCATTAAGCACAATTTATTGGTAGGGCTTTGTAGGGAAATGCCTCAAAGGGATTATTATTAATAACTCAAAAGAAATTAATACAATTATGCAGATCTTTGGGTCAGCACTGTTTCTCTTTTATCTGGCCTTCATTGTGCTCTTGATTGTAAATTGGTAGAATTTCAGGGTATTG